CCCCAAATATTAATTGTTTATATATGTCCACCCTATTTATGCCAAACTTTTGTAATGACTTGGCTTATGTCCTTATTTGACATGTGTTTATTTGCCACATGATGTGTGTGTGTATAATCATCACTTGCAAATTGAACAAATAATGATTTATGTTATTTAAAATCGGACAATAAAGTGTATGAACATGTCAAAATTGCAAATTAGAGAGTGTGAAGATTTGGAGGCCTTGTAAGGCTTATGTTAAACCCAAATTCACCCAATTTAGTGAGACCTTGTAAAGCTTTTAGCATTCAGCTTAAGTGCATTAGCCCAAGATATATTGGTCATGGGGCATCTAAATGCACTCACCAATTTGATCAATGCACCCAATAAATATTGAGCATGTGTCATCTAAACACCTTTTGTTACTTCTTATAGACCGTTCTCAAATTTTTGTCGTCGGATCCAATGAATTGAAGACTAAGGCAAGTTATCAAACTTCAAACTTTGTCCTAATAGGAGTGGGAGAAAGAATGAATAAAAAAACTTATTTGGTTTTAGGAAGTAAGGAAATGGTGGACTAACTAGCCTCAAGTTATTTGCACAACACGAAAATTTGAAGCCAATCTCTTTCTATTGCTAGAATATGTGGCTGAATCAATTTGCTAACAAAACAAAATGTTCAGGTCTCAGATGTAAGTTTCTTTTGTACTAAAAGTGGCTACGCTCATGACTAAAGAACTGCTTGGAAACTAAAAATTAAATTTAAAAAATTTAAGAGAGTACTTTTGCTAAAAACACTTTTTCAACTATAGTTTACTAATATTTACTCATTTACTTCACATTTGTTTTATCTAAACTACTTATTAATGAAACTCTTATTGTCAACCAAAAGAATGTGAAAAGACATTTTTGTCTTCTTTCACAACAAAAATGTTAAGGACAATAACGTAATTTTACAAAACAAAATTTTGCTATTTTTTATCGAAGCCTCACCTACAAGTGATTTTATCATCTCTAATTTAAAAAATAAAAATACAAAAAAAAAACCTCTATCCCTTTCTCCCTCTCTTCCTCTCTGCTTCAAATTTAAAAACAAAAGTTTAAAAACTACACACAAAGTGTGTATGAAACAAATGAGCAATTTAAAATTAGAATTCTTAGAGAATCATCAAAGTAGGGTGAAAAGGAGATTTTATAAAACAACTAACACAAATTTACAAGCAAACCAAAGGCCCAAGTTACACCTATTAACAAACAAAAAAGGCCCTAAGAATACTGACAAACAGAAAGAGAGCCCAACAAACAATAAGGCCCAAAAACTACACAGTAGCCGAGAAGCTTCCACTGCCATCTCCATCATCAACTTTCCAGTCCGTCCAAACGATTTTCTGTCCATCGCCACCGAGTATTGCCTCACTAGACGCCACCTCTAACCTCGATATGCTACTTGAGCACAACTATAAACAAGGGATAGTTGGCAACAGAGTGAGAACCGGCAGACAACAAAAAGAAAGTGGTGGTGTTGGAAACACCCTAGCTGGTGTAAACACCGGAACGCTACACACGAACTCAATAGGAAACGTGGTTGAAGATCGAACCAAGGAAGAGCTGGAAAGAAGAATATCCTCGGGGGTAGAGGATTTGGATAGACCGGAGTTAAAATTTGGGAGAAACTAACAGTAGAGGCAAGGAAAAAAGAAGGAAATGGGAGAGAATAGGACACGGCAACAGACCCCAGCCAAAGTTAGAGTCGATGCCACCAAAAAATCTTAGGTTTAAAAGTCTCACACAAATATTGAGAAAGACTCTCAGCTTGGAGAGAAAATCTCTCATCTCGGAGAGAAAAGTGTACACAATAAAGAATCATCAAAGTATCAAACCACTTTGATGTTCCAGCCTCCATTCCAGCACATCGATAAAATTCGAATATGAATATCATTTCACATAATCGACATTTTTTATAATTTAAAATATAATTCATGATACGGATTACTTGATTTTCTATACCTTTTGTAGAACATTCTAAAGAGAATCAACATGATTCTAAATTCCGAAAGAATTAAAAATGTAATAGCATGTAATAATGGATCAAAATTAAACAACAAAAGAGATGAGATTACTGGTAATACTCTCCCTTTAATTCTTTGGTTTGTTTTCTTGTTTTTTAGGGTGATTGTTAGGGCCAATTTGGAATTGCTGGGTTTTTTTATTTTTTATTTTTTTATTTTTTTTTATAAAAACTACTCTTGATGTGCTTTAAGAATAATCAGTTGCAAAATGAAGCTGTTGAGCGTTTGATAAACTGTATTTCAAAAAGTGTTGTAAATATTAAAAAAGTGTAAAAGCATTTGGTAAATTTTAATGTAAAAGCAATATAATCATGTATAATGACAAAAATAGACATAATAGTGTGGGTGATGACGTCGACAATGGTGGTGAGGGAAATGGTTGTGATCGTGGTGGTGGAGGTATACCAATAAAGGGGTGTGGTGGTTGGGCTATAGAAGTAACAATGGTGGTAGCGGCGACGACAACAAAAATGGTGGCGGTTGCAGTGGTAGCAGTGGTGGTTGTGTTTATGGTCATCATGGTGGTGGCAACGATGGTAGTGGTAGTTGTGGTAGTGGTGGTGGGTATGATTGCAATGGTGGTTGTGGTGGTGGTGGTGGTGGTGGTGTGATTATGGTAGTGGTGGTGGTGGCAAGAATGATGGTGGTAATGACAATGGTGGTGTAAGAAGTTAGGTTTGTAGTGGTAGGTGGTGGTAGTCACTTTTAAGGTTAAAATGTGTCTAGAAGGATAAAATTGCATAACTTTAAAGTGAAGCAGCTTTTGTAGTGGTACGTGGTGGTGGTGCTCACTGTTTTACTGATTAACTTTAAAGTGAAGCAGCTTTTGATGAAAAAGCAATACTAAATTGGGCTTCAACAGTTAAAATTGCATAGCTTTTTTGTTTGAGTAATGCTACATTTACCACATTTATAACATGTCTCCAATAAAGACAACACTCACCAACATATGTGAGGTCCCATCTCCATTTTTCGTTATTTTCAACAAAAAAAAATATAGTAAGAGAAGCATTTTTGTTTCTATTTCCTACGGGGGGAGGAGACACGAACTTTAGAGTTTTTAGTAATAAACAAACAAGTTGTTTGCTGGGGTTCCTTACATATAGAAGTTATTCATCTTTTAGTAAACAACGTACAATTATTTTAGGGTACAAATAATATAATAAGAAGTATTCATTCTCTTTAGTATAGTTCAAATTCATTTAATTTGAAATGTGTTTTTAGAGATAATCTTTATATAACGATAAAGATAATGAACAATTTTCATTATATATGACCTTTGTACGGTAAAGTGAGCCAAATGTTGTAACTAATTTTTTGTTATTAGTAAGGAATCTACTTTTGACAACCCCACTTAGTAGAATAAAGACTTTGTTGATGTTTGTGTTGTAGCAACAAATCTACAATCAATAATGTACCCGTGTTGGAAGAAGAATTAAAATTATAACCACATTAGGGACAAAATATTATCCCTCAGTCACTTTTTATTTTATTTTATATAAATTTATTATTTTTAAGGGGAGGGCAAGAGTTCAAATTACTACAATAATTTAAGGAAGGAGGAGTTTCGAACCCGCATGTATAAACTCAATATCATATCTACTAAAATATTGGACCACATACACAATCCCTTAGTCTCTGAGGATCCACTGTTATACCTAATTAGGGTTAGTCTTCATCAAGGATTACAATATAAATCAACATGTGTTTAATTAAGCATACTAGAATAACATTATGTGCAAGGGTATACCTGAAGATGTCATTGGAGAAGGAATGAAATTGCAACGAGGGTCAAGAGAGCCTCCTACTCACACAGAACCTTATGGTTTTGACTTTATCTAATTTATTTCAATGTTATTAATCTTTATCATGATTAGGGAGAGTCCTAACCACCATAAAGAAAGATAATTTACCGTAGAACCATCCTCTGATGATCTTGCAATGGTCGGCATAAAAGCATTACGGTGTAAATCACTTTCAGCAAATGTCGAGCTTACTCCTCATAGTCATTAGTCATGCGGATAAACCATAAGAAACACAAAAACCATCACCTCAACTCTGAACGACACTTGCACTTAAAGGTCCGAGTTTGAACAATAAATCATAGCCGCTATAAAGGCTATCCCTCGACAGAGCAAGAGAGATACCACAACCACGAAGACTATTCTTGCCCTGAGCGAAAAAGTGAGACGACTAGAGAAGAAGATGGTTAGAAAATAAGAGAAAAGGGGAGGGAAAGAGAAGGAAGAGACTAACAAGGATTGCTGCTGACTCCACGGCGATAGACATGGGTCCACGATGGAGGTGGGTTATTTCCACATAAACATTCTTCGTTAATCAAAACTAGGAGGACAACGAAGTGGACCTTGGGGGACGCAAATATTGTCATTGTTTTTACTGCATGCATGCAGCAACAATGTTTGCATGCCTAGACAGCGGGACATGACTCAACGACACAAAGATGAGTCCCCAAATCTTTCCTGGCGATCAATGATTTAGCAGTCCAAACACTAGCCGTTAATTGACCGAAAAAAATTAAAACACCAGCCGTGAAAAAGCATATTCCAATACAGTGCCAGAGTTTCTCCATTGGCTCTATTGAAGAAGACGGCAACTTTCCCCCGCCATTTCCTTGGAATAGGCAAGAATATCCATGGCATATATTCCCGCTCTCCAAAGTGAATGCTTCGAAGCACAAAGAAAAAAAATGGAACAAAGTTTTGCCAGAACTCCAAACCAACACTTACCATTGGCCAACCAATCAAAATCCCTTTCAAGTTTAATCGTATACCAATTTCGATGCCATTTTTTCGATTTCCAACTGCTAAATCATTCCACTATCTTCCTTTAAATAGCACTTTCGATTTTCACCACCATAACATTCAAAAGAAAGCTTCAAATTCAAGACCCAGTTTCCAGTTGTTGTGTTGTGTGTGTGATATTCTGTAAATGGCGAGCCCCCTGACACCATCGCACGTTGTTATTGCCTATGACGCCACCAAGGACCGCGGCATGCATGAGCTTACGCTCGCAATTGACAGTCTCCTGAAAAGGGGTGACGTTTTACATTCAGGGGATACCATCATTGTGCTTGGAGTTTTGCATAGGGTTGTCCACCCGAGTAAGTGTTTGATGAATTGGCCTCACTGAACTGCACTTTTTTTAATGGCTTTTTATCCTTGTTTTTTTTCCTAAAATGATATGAAATCTTTGATGGGGTTTTTAAGAAACTTCTCTTATCAATGCCTAGCAACTTTTAAATTTCATATCATTAGTTGGGTGGTTAATAAGATGTAAAAGGTGAAGGGTTTGTGTGAATCTATATTTGAATCTTACCTACTGGCAAATCTTTGCATTGTCAACTTTGATCGTACGTACACATTCGAATCTTATCTATCTAATTATGGTGTATTTCTGTAAAATGCATCTGTGCTCGTATCGGTAACTTATATGCTGTGTTATAATGATCACTGCTGTTATTTGATAGATCATCCCACAAACACATTACGAGCAGGAATTCAAAAACTAAGTCTGCTTCTTTCTGACATGTGTTATATGTGCTTCTTTTGTCTTTGTTTGGGGCAGTGGGATATCACACAAAACCATGCGTGGATTTTTTGGAAAACAGCATTCGTGCAGTAGAGGAAGAAGTTACAAAGAAAGTTGACATGTATGTTAACATGCTTCTTCAAAGTGCGGGAAAGTGTGAAGATCAAGGGGTAACATATTTATCTGAGGCTAAGAATTACTATTTTAAATGATTTGTAAAGTTGTGCGTTCGTTATGTCCCTGCCTTAACAGAGTGTTGGCTTTCCCTCAACCAAATGTGTCTTTACTCAAGACATCTTCTTTCCGAGATTGCTAGAAAGTTCATTTTTCTTATCATGAATTCATGATATTAGCAAATCTTGCAATAATATGATGACATATCTAACAATTTGACCTGAATGTTGTGTCACAATCTGAAAATTTGGGGTATGTTAGTATGCGTTTTGTACTACTTGTAACACAATAATTAAAATGGTGACCATGGATGTGCCGATTCTTTTTCGTACTTATAATGAACATCATCTTCGTCATTGTTAACCTGAACATTAAGATTAGAATGCTGCTTCAATTTTTGCTCACCCTGCTAGTTTCCCTGCTATATTCAGGTCAGCATTGAAGTCAAAGTTACTGCTGGTTTTCCCGTTAAGCAGGTTATTTTGCAAGAGATTATGGCCTGCAATGCAGCTTGGGTTGTACTTGATAGGTAGTTCCTTACCTTGTGTGTAATAGATTTCACTTTAGTTACAAACTTACAGTTGATATCAGATCTGTTTGGGCTGATTCATGACCTAAGTCCCACCCATAAAGTCTATTCTTCACCCTTTTAGATGATAAGACCATCTCTAACCCTTGGGTTAAAATCTGAAATTTTTAACTGCAGAAAATTTAGGTTTTAAGTTAGAAATAGTTTTTTTGCTCTAATCCTTATGGACTAATTTTTAGCCCGAGGTTATTAAAAAATAAATTTAGGATAATTTTTTCCTTAAATTAACTTTAAAAATAATAATTATGTAGACTATCATAATTTAATTTTATGAACATTTTAACCTAAAACTATTTAAATTCCGATAAATGTTAAAAAAACTCATTAAACCGACATTAGGAAACTCGTGGAAAACTATGAAAGAGTATGAAATGCATGAAAGATTTTTTTTTTAATTACTTTAGCCGTTGAATTTAAATTTGGACTGTTAGATCTTTTGTTTTATTGTTGGATGTGATTACATTAGATCTTAACCGCTGAATTCAATGAATATATATAAAACTAAAATAAAATACACACATATGGTGGGCCCACTAACTCAGGAAGAATCATGGCCTAAATTTGCCCCATAAATGAGTATTGGGTTAAAACTCATATTTGTCCTAAGGTTAGAGTTTAGAACCTAAAATTTGAGTTTTACTCCAAATATTGGAGTAGGTATGAATGGGAAAGGGATCCTTGCTTCAATGATGCTACTATATTTCCATGTGATTGGAATGTTAAGTGAAAAATCATAGAGTCTGGCCCTACACTATAAAGATCACTATTCTTTACCTCTGTTGTAAATCGGTCAGAGTACTCCATATTAGTGCTGAACCGCAAACCGTCATTATCCAACTAGTAAAAATAAATGGGTATCTTCAGACTATCGCTTAAAGATTAATTGCCTACTTAAACTAAGAATTATCAAACGTATAGGGCCAAATTAGGAGAGAGTTTAGGTTCGAATCTCGTGAATAGCGAATTTGATATCATACTAGGCTTGCGCATTGTGTAGCTTAACCGAACTCCCCCTCCCCTAATGTATATAGATGTACTAAAAAATAAATAAAAAGAATCGTTAAATGTGTATTTTTTTCAAATTAAAGATTTTCCTTTTCTTTTTTGAATTCTCTTTTCTGTTTCGAATTAGCTTCAATTGTAACTCACAGAGCTTATCACAGGCAACTTAGACGGGATTTGACGTTCTACCTTAAGCAGATACCGTGCAAGGTTGCAATAATTCAAGATAACTTGGCTGTGGAAGTTGTGAGACCTCATATAACAGATGAAACTGAAACTATAGAACACAAATTGTTTTTTTCTTTGTCCAAGCCCGTTCCTCTATCCAACTATCAAGGTAACGGAAACAATGAACCACTCATCACTTGCAGAAGCGACCCTGTATCCATTGATTCACCAGAAAGCTCTGAGATTCTGAAAAATCACTTTGTGACTTCACCTACATTTAAGTTACGAGACTACAGTACTTTATTGAATCTAGGGTCTTCCTGTAAGCAAGAAAATTCAGGTCAGAATCTTGTCATATTCCTTTCTACAAGATGCTTTACAAATTCAAGATATATACTGTTGATTCTGCTGTAAGGATTTCATCTCAGCTGCAATATCCATGCATTAAATCTTAGCCATCTTTGAACTTTCGGTAGAGTTTCGTCATGTGATACGAACCTCAAATGAGGAAAGTTTTTTATGCTCTATGATCTATCTAGATTTAAAAATATTAAAATTATCAGTCCGTATCCTTTGCTTGTTTTATGTGAATATTAAGGCATAAGTATCTCAGTATGTAGGTAGCAAAGCAAGAACTTTTCTTGGTTTCTCCAATATTTGGAGTTAACACTTTTTATAAGTTTCTCGTCAACATGGTTAACACTGGTAACCTGTCACATTTGAATTTTATCGATAGATTCATACGGTTACTAGAAAAAACTGGACTTTCTAACTATCTACATCATTCAGTTTGACATCAAGTAAGTGAAAGCCTTACATCAAACGTATATGCCAAGCTAGTCTGCTGAAGTGATGACAGGAACATAGTTCTGTTTTTTAACAAAGAAGTTCTTGATGCCTTCTTTCATGTTCATCTTAGCTTAGAAAAACTCATTGCATCAAGGTGTTAGTAGTGACAAAGTATGACTTTAGTAACGACCAAGGTTGTAGCACTCACAACTGTACAATTTGAGACTATATTTTCTGTTTTTCAGGTGTTCAAACCAAAGCAGACAATAAACCATCCACTGTTCCTCAAAAAATCCAGAAGCAAAATAACGCCTTCCAAGAAAGATGCTCAGATGCCCCAATTCTGTGTTCCAGATGCGGAACAAGGACTGAAATGTATGTCAAAGATTCCATGACATTCAGCTACTCAGAGATACTGCTTGCAACAAATGATTTTTCCAAGGAAAACTTATTAGGAGAAGGTGGATATGGTCGTGTGTATAAAGGTGAGCTTAAGGATGGACAGCAGATTGCAGCAAAAGTGCGAAAAGAAGCCAGTACACAAGGATTTAAGGAATTTCACTCTGAGGTTTATGTCTTGAGTTTTGCACGCCATAAGAACATTGTCATGCTGTTGGGTTATTGTTGCAAGGAGAACCTAAATATCTTGGTTTATGAATATATTTGCCACAATTCTCTTGAATGGCACTTATTTGGTAAACTTCTGTTAAAATTTTCCCCAGTACTTTTCTTTTTTCCTCCTGTTAGTTCTTATGTTGATAAAATATGGACATGATAAGTGCATCTTCTTTTGCTAATTCTTATTGGCTATTTTTGTAGATGAAAAAGCAGCAGTTCTTGAGTGGCACCAAAGACATTCTATTGCCATTGGAACTGCAAAAGGATTGCGTTTTCTACATGAAGAATGTCGTGGAGGTCCTATAATTCATCGAGACACGCGTCCAAGCAATATCCTGCTAACACATGATTACGTTCCTATGGTAAATTAATTGCCATATTTTTTATGTCTGTCTCTTTATGAGGTCCTTTGAAGAAATGCATAGTGTTCATTTAAATTTCTGGTTTATCAATATGCTCAAGATTTGGTTAGCGGGTAGTGATGTTAATAAATTAAAGTTCCTCTAAGAATCTGGTTGGGTAGTCTTGGTGCCCTCCAGATTTGTGATAAAAATCTAGAGTCATCTGCATAGTCCTATGCTAATGAGCTGCAAAACTTCTAGGAATTATATATTTTTATATATCTTTCTAGCCAGCAGCTCTTTGCACTGGAAAAAGGTCATCTTTCAGTTCTCACAGTGTAAACTAGTAATGACTATTTTGGAGTGCTGATAACAATTCCCTTCTTTTGATATGCGAAAATGTAGGTTGTGGTGCATGAAGCACTTCTGTTGTTTCAGATGGAGTATTGATACATAAAAATTAGGAACTAGTAGATACATATGACCCAGAATACTGAGGACTTGTATATTACAAATATTATTAGTTCTCCTCTTTTTTTTCCTTCCCTTCTTTTTGTTTTGTTTATTTAATTTTTACGTTTTGCATTTCTGGCTTCTACTTTTGTTCGACTTTGGAGTATAATCTTTCGTTTTCATCTCTGAGAAGAATAGGTTTTGACTGCAAGATCTGACTAGTTATTATCAAAGATCTGAAGACTATGAAAACTATTCTAGCTAATTGAATGATTTTCTAAACTCAGTTAGGTGATTTTGGCTTAGCCAAATGGAAGACAACGGGTGATGACACTGACCCGACAAGGATAATTGGCACACTAGGGTGAGGACTTCTATACGCTTTTTCCTGCATTTGATTTCACACTCTACATTCTCTGGTGTTGGTAACTTTCACTAAACTAGTGCAAGTTTTTGGTCCTTGTAGCTACCTTGCTCCAGAGTATGCAGAGAACGGTATTGTTTCTGTACGGACAGATGTATATGCCTTTGGTATGGTTCTGTTACAACTAATAACCGGCCGCAAGATTATTGATTCAAATGGAGAAGGGCAAGTTCAATCCCTACGGGAGTGGGTATGTTGGACTTCATGATGTGTTTTTTCATCTTATTTTATGGCAAAAGGGCAAAAAGAAAAACCATTTTTTACTCGTTGCAGAAACAGCTGTGCTTTATTCTCGGGTTCCAACTAATTAGTCCATATCTGCAAATTTTAGGCAGAACCAATAATCCAGAGGCTAGCACTACATGAACTCATTGATCGTCGTTTAGGAGATTTGTATGAGACATATGGAGTGTACCTTATGGCTAAAGCCGCATACTTATGCATACAAAGAAGTCCTGAAATGCGTCCATCAATGGGAGAGGTAATCAAAATTTTACCCATGTGGTTCTTATTATTTGTGGGAACTGTTAATGAAGTTGGTGCAAGATCAAGTGATATACTCTAACCTGGTTTGACAACAATGTGAACCGCCTTTCTCAAAAATGAATAATGCATGCTCATGAAACACACATTAGATATATGTTGTGGCGTTGGTAGTTAGAAATACCACTGCGTAAACAGAGATCTGTGTATATCTTACTACAAATGTCTCGATGCTGCATTTCAAATTTTAATATGAACTTACAAGATTTCCTTCCAACAGGTTGTCCGTGTTCTTGAAGGTGAAAGTGACAATTTCCACCACATAGGAGTGCACTTTGTACCTCAACAGCATACAAAGTGAAGGATCCAACGGCGCAGTTTAGTTTCATTTTTGCAGATGGTATTGCTGTTTATATTCTCATGTCCACTGTTTTTAGCTTCTCATCTGCAATCTAACTAATGCTTCATTTGATTCTGTCTAAGTTCGCCCTACCTTCTGAAGGGGAAAGTGCCCATTTCTACATTCCAGGATAGCAATTCTACCTCGATGAAGACAATGGCACACTTTATACTTTCGTTTGACGGCTGAAGGTTTTTTTTTTTTTTCCTGTTTTCCTTGAAGATGGTTGTAGCTTCTCACGTAGTTCGCCATTTTCCTTCAACCGGCCAAGGGGATTGGTTTTTCATGGTTTCCAACAAGGGAGACATTGTTTGTAAGGCTTTGAAAACTTGAACATGTCGTGGAGTTTGGCTTTGTCTTTTGATGCCTTCTCTAAGAATAAGATCTTTTCATCTAAATGATCGATCATGAGTTTACTCTCCGCTAGTTTTGTAAAAACAACTCCATATACTCTAGGGATTTATGGCATGTAATCTAAATTATTATTTCCAAGGCTTTGTGGTTGTTGCATTAAGTTAGAGTAATCACAAAATGAATTGCACCCTCATTTGCAGGAAGTTTTAGTTCTTAAATGAAATTCAAGCGATCAAGTGATATGTAATTCGCATTATAAAATAGTAATTTTGCATGTTATAATAGAGAAAATAACGAAGGAAGAAATGCATGGTGACTATATTGAAATTTTTCCTGAGCGAGATGTTTTTGTTTGATTGCTTTTGTCGACGGTCTAAACTCCAAGGGAGAAAAATTGTGTTGAATTGGTACATACATATTTGTTGATGTCTCATGTCTAAGAGAATGCATTTTCTATGTGATCCTAAAATTTGGCAAGGGGATTAAAAGTTGAAGTGATTAAGAGTATGATTAACTCCTCCACTTGAAGTCCCGTGTTTTATTTATCCTCCATTAAAACGGTTTACATAAAAAAATAAAGGAATAATTTGGACTCGATTCATTCGTCTAAACACTACCTACATTCAACCATATATAATTTGATAGATTTTAATTTTAGTCACTAGAAACACACACGATTATTTTATTTTATTTTTATTTTATTCTTGTCAAACGATAAGAAATTTTATTAGATCCGCATATGTAGTAACATTTACATCAGATGCTAACACATTAATCAACCAATCTATTTTAATATGGTCTCATTTATGAAGGCCGCCAATTTGAGCTACAATTGAAGCCACTAGATGAACTACCCTATTACATTAAGCGGAGAGAGAGTAATGTTAAGGAGATCAAATTTTACACTAAATTGTATAAATTAAATGATGTGGCTGTTGATGATTGGATTCTTAATTAAATGTCGATTACCGTGCTTCTATATTCTATTAAGAGAATAGCCATTGTCAACCTTTTTTCCCCTTTTTTTCCAATTTTGCCCTTACTTTTCAATACACAATATGGACATGAAGAGGGCAAAATAGTGATTTTGTACTTTTTGACAAATGACAATCATATCCTTATTTTCGGCTATTTTACCCCTTTTTCTTTTTTTTTTGAGATAATGACAATCATATTTTTCCAATTTACCCTCACTCTTGATGCACTTATTAAGAAAAATTGTTCACATACACAAAGTATGTGCTCTCTGCTAGTTTCTTATTAGTGACACATCATTTGGTTTGCAAATTTGGTCTCTTTAGCATTATCCAAGCAAATAAGAAACCTACTCACACACAATGTTTTGCTTGGTCTTATAAGATCAATGTTCTAAAAGACGCTAAGCGCTAGTCTGGTGGCCGGCTGAGGCCTAGCACCTGGGCAGCTAGGTGAGGGCCTAGGCAGACTAGGTGGATTTAATTAAATGTATTATACAACATATAAATAAATGCCTACTTACACTCTAAAAAATAAAACTAAACTTGTATTGAGAATTTGAAAAAAAATTTAAAACTTAAAACTTAAGCTATTATGGCATTGCCATCATCACAAACTAATGCATCAAGAATAAGAAAAACCCAAAACCAAATTCGAAAATTCACTAATAGAAATGGGCAAGGGCTAGGCCCAAATTTGGAGGGACTAGACTGGACTTGTGAAATCCCATTCTTGGATTTCACTATTGCAAACTACGTATCTGTATTAAGGAGATTTTATATTATTTTGTGAATTTATATTAAATTTAGGTTTTAATTGAACTAACTACGAAGTTTGAATTTTGGTCAGTAATCATTAAAATTGGTGGACTTTACGAGGTCACACTAAGTATAATTGGATAGAGTTCAATTCTACAAGTGTGTAGGTGAAAACTGTTCGCAAATCGGAGTTGAAAAGAAATTAGAGATGTTTTAGTTGTTGAAAAAAAAATAAAAAATAAAATGAATAGAAGTTGCCAAGTGGCAACAAGATAGAGGGAAAAATGAGAGAAGCATGAGAGAAAATGAGGGAAGGGATGGCCAATTAGGAAGAAGAAAAAGGAGGGAAAGGAGAGAAGAGGGTAACAGCCAACTTGGATCCCAAATGACCCGTTTTGTTGACCCAACGACATACCAGGTTGTAGGTAGCCAATTCCGACGATTTTCATCGGTTTTTCCTATGAATTCTACCCAAATCTTACCTGCATACACAACCTTGACCTCCATTCTCTCTTTTCCACCAAAAATCAGAGGGTCTTTGGCCTTGGTTTCGTGAGGATCGAAGCTGACAGCTTCGAGGGCACCCACGATGGCAATCTGCCATTTCTAAAGCCACAACCGTCGACCACCACCATTATTCAAACACTCTTGAGACTAGGAACAAAACCCAAGCCAAGATCAGGGTGTTGGAGGTCATTTTGATGTTGAATCAAAGTTCATCATTTTTAGGGTTTCTAGCGGATCGAAGCGAATTTAGGCGACTTCCCGACCAAACTAGGCTTCAGCTCAGGTATGAAATATGTTTGCCTCATTGAGTTCTACATTTTTTGTAAAATTTGGTAATTTTTAGAGTAGGTCGAAAAATTGGGTTTCTGTTTGTCGGAAACAGCCACCCGCGGCAACGCATGGCCAGTGGGCCGATGCTACCTTTTAAAGTTAAATTCGATGTTTTGATTTCAAATTTGATAACCATTTGATGTTGTTCAATAGTTTGAACCTAGTATGGAATATTAGACCACCTAACCATTTTACGATTTGACGATCCGACCATTGGTTCACCAAACCTTACGTTATAGTACGTAATATTTGAGGACCATAGAAACTGACGGATTGGGAATCCAATGTACGGATCTTCCCAAATTAAATTTCTAAGTTTGTAAAACCAAACGTTCATAGCAACCTACTTCTAGCAATTGGTGGAGATCCGACCGTTGGATTGCTCTGAAATTTTAGTATACTGTTCTAGAAGATAAATGAGAACCTTGGAAAGTTATGGATTGGAAATACATGGGTGGATGTTCCAAATTGACTTGTACAGGGTTGTGGACCCTACATTTGACAGAGACTTGACTTTTGGTCAATAGGCTATGAAATGATCCTAGATATTAAAATCTGTATTACTAGAGACTATGTAGGGCTTAGTGGGCCTATATGGGTTAGTGGGTTATCCCATATAATATATACATCGGTTTACATGTATGGGGCGTCATATTGTGATATATGTATATATATATATGTGTGTGTGTGTGTGTGTGTGTGTGTGTGTGTGTGTGTGTGTGTGTGTGTGTGTGTGTGTGTTTGTGTGTGTTTATTTATCTTCTTATTAATGTGAATGATAAGTATGATAAATGTTATGACAATGTGATCCTAGAATCCTATTAGAAGTATTTTGTATAACTTATATGCTTGTGTGACGTGTTAGTTGGTGTCCATGAGAAGTTGATGGCGTAGGTGACTACGTTGTAACTCATAGGGGTTGAGTTGTGGGTAGGTTATGTGTTGAATTTACTGCACCATGTAGCAGTCGTACATGAAATGGTCCTGCTTGGTATATCCACGTTGGGTGATCACTGCCTACGTTATTAGACTATGCATATGGTTCTGCTTGGTATATCTGCGTTGGGGGACCATACACATTGTAGGAGTGATCATGCTTGGTATATCCGTGTTGGTGATCACTACCTAGAGTTAGGATGTGGTCCTGCTTGATATATCCGCGTTGGGGGACCATACGTTTTCAGGGGTGATCATGCTTGGTATATCCACGATGGGTGATCACTCCCTGCACAATGAGATTATGCTTATGGTTCTGCTTGGCATATCTGTGATGGGGGACCATACGCATTCTAGGGGTGATGAGGATTAGTTGTACTTGGTACATTCCTATAGGTGATTATATTTCGGGTTGGATTCCGTTGAGTGGTTCGGAATCCCTACTCTTGCTCTTTTCCATAAAGTTAGTTCGACCCTAGATTCAAGTGAGTACTAATTGCTCACAGTAGACATTATGGTTATAAATTAGAATTATCATGTTATTACTTGGAATCCAGGCAGGGAATTATGTAGAATTCCTTTATTAAATTTCATGCATTGATATGTGATCTTGTTGATTGATTAACGTAATTAAATGTTACTATTGTGCCTCCTTGATTCATGGAATTGGTTACTTGAAGTGGTTGTGGAATGATGTTGGATATGATTGTTATTAGTACAATTAGATTAGTTGATCAATGTGACTAGAGGATACTATTGTGCTTTATATGATGTTGGATACTATTGTGCTTTATGTTGAAACATAGTGATTTATATGATGGAGGAAATAGAAACCTTGATTATCACGTGGGTTTGTTATGTAGCTTGAATCAAATAATTCATGCTTGTCAAGTCCAAATGATTGATTGAGAAATGCTACACTTTTCTGCTTGAACGTACTGTGATAAACGTCAAAGTGTAGTGAATGGTGAACTACGAATGACTTGATCCATTTTTAGGGTACGTAGGCAGCCTAACGAGGAGGTTAAATGCAGCCATAATGTATACGAAAATTGCTACACAATTCAAATCTTGAATTATGCTTTGTACATATCCCGGAGGCGGGGTCTATTGGATATACGGATACTTCGTGACGTCACGTGTCAATCCTGGACATATATCGAGATCGGGGCGTGATAGGACCCGCTTTCAATTGCAACGGGGTGGGCTAGGCTGGGTAATGAAATTTTTGAATTTGGAACTGGATCCAACTTGGCCCTTTGGTTCGAGCCGAGTCCATAAGCCCACTTACTTTTTTTTTCTTTAATAACTGATTGTTGGGTCCATTCTAAGTTTCGAGCATTTCTCAGACCCCCAACCTAGAAGAAATCCAACAAGTGAAATGAAACGCATTAATCCAAAACAAATTCAACACTTTTCAAGCATTTCTCAAGCCCTAACCACATATCAATTGAAAACAAAATCAACAAAAAAAATAAAATCATACAAAAATCAAAGAAAACAAAAGGTTCACTTGATAATCCACAAAGCCACAGTACACAAATAGCAATATTGAATCCCTTAATCAAATAATTTAGCAAATTAACCCCCTAATTCCTAAATCCCCAAATTCGAATTCAGAAAATAAAACTGAAATTGGGTGGCAAGAAGAAGAGAAGCAAGAGCTTAATTGAAAACTAAAGGTCCACTTGACAATCCATAAAGCCTCAACACACAAATAGCAATATTGAATATTTTAATTGAATAATTTAGCAAACTAACCC